TGAACCAAACTTGCATAGGTTTTTGGATGCAATCCATTAGTTGTTATAAGATATTTCATAAAATTTCTAGCATTTAATTACTAGTAGCTTTTTGAAAACTGACAAATAATGTTCAGAAATAAATGTTAATCAAAATTAATTAAAATTCCATACAGTAATTTAAAAGTGAAATGTTAACAATCTTGTCATAAAATAAATAAATAAATAATTAAAATAGGAAGAATATTGTCCATTTTATTATTTTTATTTTAAAACTAAGGGAGATAATATTCTGAGATATGACTATGCTAACTACGTGCTTTGTTACCGAAGCCTATTAGTGCCATAGTACACAAAGTGAGGGCAACGAGTGTATAAAAAGGACAAGCAACATATGAAAACGAAACACCCAAAGGTAAACCGTATATGATGGCAGAAACACACGTACATTTTTTGTATTCCGTTCTCCGTTGCTTGATCAATAATATATTAAGAGCGACCAAGAAAAGTGTCGCCGTAAATCAAAGGTTTTTACGATCTTTAGATGTAGCTCTCTGATTTGTCTGTTCGAATTTTCTCAACCAGAAAGCTGCAATATGAATTAAAAGAAGCTCTAATAAACGTATATTCGTCAGAAAAAGTGTTTTCTATATCTCATTGCTTAATTAGATAAAATGTAATCTATATAAATCTTTTGCATGTTGACCTCCAATATACAGCAGATGTAGCAGTCAACGGGAAAAAGAAACTCTTAATGAATCATTTCTTTCGAAAAGCAAGTCTTTGTTTTGGGGGGAACGAATTATATAACAGGTCAACAAAAGAAATCCTTTCGAACACTTACGTGTTCGTGCATTCTGCCTCTTCTCAGGTGATTACTACGAAAAGATAAATGTCTATCATTGAATTGTTTTACGTGATGGATAATGACCCGTCGGTCGACTTCCCTCACGTTTCAAAATTAAACCAAACTTGCATGGGTATTTGGATGCGAATTATAATTGAAATATCATGCATTATATATTTGCTAGCATATAATAATTGATAGGTTGGTAAACATAAGGAAAAAGTTTACAAGTACATTGAAATCCTTTTAATAAAATTTCATTTTGAAATCATTAAAAAATATAATTTATACAATCTTGTTATAAAAGAAATAAATTTGTAATTCAAAATGATGAAAATCATTGTCAATTTAATTTTTGGATTTTAAAACTAAAGGAGATAACTCTGGGATATGAACACGATTACTCAGAGATTGTTGCAAACGTTTTTCGAACATTCTGATGTTTATCATTCCAAACATTTGAATTGATATATTCATAGATGAGAGGAGAATTCTAAATATACATGTAAAATTCGTCAAAGTGTTCAAAATATAGATTTTATAAGGCTGAATTTGGACACGAGAAGCATTTTTGTATTACATGTAACTGACGATCTATTGATGTAGTACTTATTCATACACTCCTAATTGAAACTGGTAGATTTTTTTTAGTATAGAATGAATTGAGTGAAAGAATGTATACTCTGCGGAATTTAGGACAACTGGGTTATGAGCTCCATTACATGTATTTTCTCAACCCTGATTTCTTTAAACAATTGCAAGTGCTCAACCTTCCAATAAATGTGGGAATAAGGTTGAAAGATATGAGACTGTGTTATCTGGATGTGCAATAATAAAATATGACTACTTAATGGGATGTAATGTGTAAAATTCGGATTAATTGGTTACAAAATATCATAAATATCCAACTATTTTTGACTTCGGTAGGTTGACGATATAACCAAAATTCAAAGTATAACTTCGTAAATATATTGCATGATGGTCATGCTTGTTGCATTTTACATTTCACTCTTGAAAATGTTGCTCTTTCAGTAATTTTTACTCGGTAAAGAATGGTATAAAGTTACTCGATATCCATTCATGCATTACATGTACATAATATAATTTTAAAAATGTTCTGTTATTCATAGTTACATATTTACTTATTTTTATTATGTTCTCCGATTCAAGTTTTCTTGACCTTTTCTATTCAAGATGAATTCTGAATTTACAGGTAAAGTACTAGTATTTTAAGAAATGTCCCCCTTGGGCCACCTTACGTAAACAATACTCCCACGCAGATTAAATTCTATGGCAGAATGCATGCGGAATTAGGCTCGGAATTCTTCGAATACTGACACAAAGGTATGCATATGCCCTATTCTTTATTACATGTACTATTTTGGTGGTTAACTGTCCTGTATTTTTACCCTGTTTAAAATATGTACAATTTAACTTTTTTTGCGCCGCTGATAAAGTGCATGTTTATTTAAGTTTGATGGTTAATCAAAAACATTCCGGGCCAGTATACTAGATGGTATCCCTCCTGCTGGGGTGGGGATAAGGGCTTCATAGATTCCGGGTTGGTGTCTTTCTGAAACATTATAAACCGCTACCCTTTTCTTATGAAAGCTTAAATTAAGATGTATGGCATTTGCCATATATGTATATACATATGTATACCCTTTGGAAACTGAAAGCAGATAGACTCATTATAAACTGACCGGGCGTCTTCTTTCAAAAATGAATTTCATATACATGTATATCAAATATTTTTTTTCCAATTCTACAATAAAGATTTACTTTTAAAATAAATTAATGTATTGTTATCCATCTATTTTAGTAACACATACATTATCCAAATTTTAATACATGTACTCTCTTGATCTCCATCGTCGCTGCCACCTGTGTTCGAATCTTATTTCGTTTGACGAATACCTTTCATTGGTGTCTATAGCTATCTGTACCATTTTCCTTGGAACTGTTCGTAGACGTGTGCATTGTCGGATCGAGGAGTATGTGCTGGACTTGTTCCAACAATAAGCCAATTGATTACAGACACATGCAATACTACAGCACCTGCGTGAACGTGTATCTCGCTATAAAAAATAAACTAGATTCGTGCAGATATTTGTTTGCACTACCCATGGTCACTCTATCGGAGGTTGAAATGAAATATAAACCTATACACTATGACAAAATAATTATTGCAAAAAATTGACCCCTTCCTTTGTGATGAGAATAATCAACATTTACAATGGTCGTTGGGAGATGCCGGTTGTTGAACTCCAATTAAGAGAGTGTTTGTATTGCTATTCGCTGGTACCAGAAACATTCTTTTCATAGAACTTGAAATAAATCAAACTAATTTCACACTTTTACATGTCTCATTATATTCATTAAAAGACACCTTTGAAATTATAATTAAAAAGGCATCTTTGAAATGATATACAATAATAAAGCAGTACTTTATGAACCAATACTCTAAAACTGTTTACATGTACACTGTATAATGTACACGATTTGCTTTTGCAGTTCCTTTCCATCTTCGAGAGCCAAGGGTTTTCGGTCCACTCCGCTCCTCATAAACCCTTGGCCGTGTTTTCATAATGAAATCAGCCAAGGGTTTATGGGGAGCGGAGTGGACCGAAAACCCTTGGCTATAGCGAAGATGTTGCTTTCAAGCAGAGCTGCAAAAGAAGAGCGTGTAAACTAGATTTATACATATGCACGACATGCCTGCAAGCACATGCTCTATATCAGTCTGGAAAGCAGACGTAATTAACTGACCAAGCTATATATACAATACGAAATTATCTGTCACAATGTGATAGCAGGTATGGTGCATTCCGAGCTATATTAGAATCTGCAGATTTTATTATTTTATTTATGGAATTCGAAAAATCATGGACTTTTCCCGAAAAGGGAGTGGTTGGAGAGGGTTTTAAAGGCTACCCAGTACTAAGTGGAATTGTCTCCTTCCCCCCCCCCCCTTCCGGCGACAGAATCGGCTATTTCATTATGATTTTATTTTTGTAAATCTATGCTCTATTATTCATACATGTATCCACAGAATCCATTAACCATGGCAGGGATATCAAAGAGAGTCAACCAGTGGCAGAAATTCTTTGACGAACACGAAGAAAAACAGAAAATAAACCCCTTCTCTGAATGGGAGGGGGCCTCACATCGTCAGAAACTGGACAAAAATGACCCTAATTACGGGCGTCCCGTGGAGGGATCTATGACAGAATATAGGGGTCAAAAGGCCGGAGAACTCATCAGCGGAGAAATCGTGGAACTGTGTCACGTGATCTCTGATCTTGGACAAAAGAACGCGGATGGAACATTCAGTATATCTTTTGGAAATCTATTCGAAGCATACACAACCATATCAAACAAACTGGTGGGGATGTTAATGCGTGCACGGAAACAAAAATTATTAACTTTTCCTGGAGAAATGTTATTTCAGAGACGAGATGATGACGTTACAGTTACTTTATTTAAAATTCCGTATACCACGTGATTAATATTTAAAAATAATTTATTTTAAGTGTTTAATAAATAAAAATTTTTTTTGACATTTTGAAGTGTTGTTAATTTAATTTTTTTCACATTCAAAAGTTATCCTACTTTATATTCATGCAGTATAACATTCCTCTGTCTCCTGAAAGTGGAACTGATTCAGTATACAAGAACATGCTTCGAGTACCATCCAGTTTAATCCGAGGCTGGTTACTAACAAATAATTGAATGAAACAGGGATTTCAACAATCTCATCAAGTCAGTACATCTCAATTTCTACATGATGACCTTGTTTACAAATACAACGTTGTATTATATTACTTTGGTGACAGTTGTTTGGGTCATTTATTATATTAATATTGATTATGAAATACACTGTACTCTGTTTACCTGATTAAAACATAGGGCTCACACAGATGTGATTGTTTGAAAGGGGCTGATTTCTTCAATAAAGCACCTGATCAGCCTCTGGTAAAGTTCACAGGAATCTGTGTCTTTGACCTAATCACAGATTGTGTACAGATTTATGATCACTGTGCTAAATGGAATATTTGGTTTATTCACTTTTAAGTATTAAATTGGGTTTCAAATATCATAAAAAAAGTTATTTTTCATAACCAGACATTAAAAAGACCTTGAAATAAAAGGAAAGGAGAATAAAAAAATCCTATTAAGTATTTTGAAATCTTTTATTGCATATTGCATTAAAACAAACAAGTGCTACAAAAAATATCTTTTCCATTGGAAATACGATATACACTTCAGTGCTAAAAAAAGTCAACAATTGAAAGCTGAAAGAAAATATTGCTCAATGACGGTACATCATTACACAATATTATACTGTAAAGGTATTTCACATGAATGAAAGATTGTAGTGCACCCCATATTTTCACTTTAATCAAATAATACATGTATACATCTAATGTTTTCAATTATCTTTCACACATTCAAAAATGCAATTATGGAAACACAGCTTAAGTAACTGAAGCTTTGTTCCACACAAGCCTTCACTTTTAAAATACTATATAACAATCATACTTAAAGAACTTCACTTATTTTTCATTGCAATATCCTGCTGATGTTGAATCGTTTCGTAAAACTTTCTTTTAACTTCCTGTTGTTTTTTGTAATCTTCACTGCTCCTCAATCGTTTGTTTTTGGCCGCGGCTTCTTTGTCACCCTCCTCTTTGATCTTCATGAAGGTTTTCATGGAGTTATCATCATCGGGCCGAGGCCCGCGAAAGTTAGCCCATTTATCTAGCTGACCATGCTTCTGGGTTTCCTGAGTAAGTAAAACAAAATATAATGTTCCACTGAATAGCTCATTCATACTTGATGTAGATAACATAGAATAAAAGGTCATTTACAAAGAAGATAAGTTACAAATTCTCACATTTTGCTTGTCATACATATATTCAGTATATTAGTGAGAAAAGCTAGATCCTTGCCTTAAACATTACAGGAAGCGAAGCTGTAAATAAATATGATTGTTTAACAAACACTGACTTACTTTTTGAAGTTGTTGTAATGTTTTTACTTCTCCAATTTCTTCAAAAAATTTCTGGGTTTCTCTATCTGACAGAAGCTAAAAGTTAAGGGAACAAATAATTTCTTATATAATATCAGAAAGAAGTAAATAATGTAATAGGAAAAATGTGAATAAACAAATAAATAGCAGAGTCTGACTTGTATATTTGAAATCTGAGAGAAGAAAGAAAGAAAATTTTGCATTTTGACTCATACACTACCAGAACTCTTAAAAACACCCTACCTATCTTATATATTAAGATGAATAAAAAAAAAAAGAAATAAAAATAATTTTGATGACAGTTTTAAATTACACTTACTGACGACTTCTTTTTGTCTCTTTTTCTGTAGACAAGTTTTTGTGTCTGAACCAATATTGCTGCACCTGTCAGTACAAAAAGCTGAAATCGAAAACATGATATTAAAAAAAAAATTAAAAATTGCAATTTTCTCATACATTTTCATGTGATAAAACTTTATTAACTGTGCCAGCATACTAAAGCTATCAATTAATATCAAAAAATATATATTCAGGCCGGAATGGCTATATTTCTTGAAAACTGCTTAAAGATTTAAGCTTTCTGCATTTTACTATAGGTACATCGCACGTGCGACTTCATCTGTTCCTGTATGATTAATATTATTATAACCATTATATACAAATGTGAACAATGCACTTTCTTTTTGTCCCAATGAGGGCCCTTAATAGGTCAATAAATTAACTGAATTGAATTGTACAGATATAAGATAAGGTCTAATCTATGGTTTTTCACCAGTCCTGTCGTGTCAACGCTCAAAAAAGTACATAATGTACCATCAAAGGCAATCCCTTGTTAAAGAAAGGAGATCGTCTCAGCTCCCGAATGTTCTGTTGGAAAGAGGAAAACATCCTTTATCTCATTCAAAAAATTTCAACTAGTAAACAATATCCGATTATATCGTTGTCACATTGCGTCAGGTCATTTCTACTTTCAATTTCAAAAGGAAAGTAACAGCCAGACATTGGTTAGCCCGTACATGGAAGTTTCTAACAAATCGTTACGTACTGTTTATGTGTAATTTACCACTCAAATTAGTATAAAAGACTGAAAAAATCTGTACGCAACAAAATATTATATCACAGTATAGGTGTCTTAAATCAATTTGTCCATACTTACAATTTTAGGGAAGTTTCTAGTATGCATTATGCCATTAATACCAGCGTCATCCCCCCACATTATTTGCTAATTAATACAGGACCTTGCATATTAGCTGGCTTAGTCTACTACGTCGTTTTTTCAGGTCCAAACTCGGCAAGTTTCCCGCCTTATGGCGTCATTGAACATTCGCCTTAATGTGCATTGAAAGTCTACGCTTTTATAATGGTAATAAATCATTATGAAATCATCTAAAACGCAATCATTATGCCTTAGCAAATTTCTGTCGAAAACTTCTTCACACCTATATTTCATTTTGTTTTACATCTACGTTTTGGCCTAGCTCTACCTTTGGGCGTTGCCATTGGTGACGACGTCATTCTTGGCAACTGCAAGGAACCGTTGCGTTGTGGTTACTGTCGTTAGTTACTCACTTTGATCAGTTGCGAGTAGACGTGTTTTTTACACAGCGACAAAAATCTCAAATTTCACAATGAAAAGAGAAAGATCTGATGAAAGAAACAGCAAGAGTGTGTCTAAGAGGGTAATTTTTCAGAAAATAAATTTTTTTTGGTCTTCTATGTTTGTTTTCCCGAAAAAAGATACATTTTATGACGTCAATGAAAATGGCAAAATCCCTCTGACTAGTCTGAGTCAACTATTCAACCGATCTCAATTGTTAGGCCAAAAATACAAAGATCTTCGATCATTTGGAAGGGGGAGGGGTGCGTATTGTTCGGGAGGGGCATGCAAACAACCACGTCGACCCCGACCCCTATCTCTCGTTAAATTTTAAAATCTGGAAGCCCCCCCTCCCCCATTGTGGTTTTAGACCTCAATGTAGAAAAACAAAATTGAAAAAAATACAATGTAAAGATTTGTTTGAACACGAAGAAAAAGCATGGGCAATATCGATAATATAGAGGAAATTCGGTTAAATATAAATCATAATATTTATAATGTATAGGAAAATGTTTTAGCTTTACCAATTCCTGCTTGAACAGACCATCCGCGTTTGAAAACTTACCTCTCAAAATTCATTGCGTGCTAATAGCAATAGAGATTATTTTGATTCCTTTGAATGATTGAGTCTCTCTCATCTGCAAAGTCATATAGAAAAGGGGGACTACTGAGGGCAAGCCTTATAAGAGTTATTTCCCTTTGATCTCAACTAACTTGATTACAACTACAATGCAATACGTAATTTTTAGCGATATTCAATTTTAGCGATCTCAGAACCCTCGCTAATAATTAAATCCTTGCTAAAATTTCTGCTTAAACGCTAAGTTCTAGATTTGTCCGTTATAAAAAAAAAACAAAGCGATTTGCGACGATGTCCACCTCGTACAATATGAAAAAAAATCGTAGGAAAAAGATTGCGAGGAAAGCACATTTGTACACCATATTTTGAGGGGGGGGGGGGTTAAAATGATAAAAAAACAAAAAACAAAAATAGGGGCATGGGTGTGCTACGAAGACCGAATATAATTTTCTAATAAGCATTTGATTGACAATGGTTAAAGTATATGTTTACAATAGCAGTTTAAGAGAAAAATTATGATTAATTTTGCAAAATGATACAACCAACTAAAGTTTTAGGTCTTGGTCGTAAGTTTTTTTTTTTTAAAATATAAAATGAACCTATAAATTATTATACTACATGTCTTTTAACGGTTGTTAATAGCAAATACTGCAATTTTATTTTATTAATGTATATATCTGGATTTTTAAATAAAAGTGTGTATAAATGTAAGTCCATTAGAGTTAGTTTTATGATCAAATAACAGTACGACATATAACTCTGGACACGACAAAGTCCAGACTTTTTACTACCATTTCTAATTATGATATCCAAAATATTTTTATATAGCTTTGTGGGATTTCTTAGCAGTATACCAGGGTCTCATGTTGAACTCACAAACATCTCTACTTAATTCTATAATATGAAGTCTTAAAACTCAGAATCCCAAGGGAAAATGGTGGGATTTTCAATCCCACGAACTACCCCACCTTTCTCCCATGGGAGAAAAAAAATGTCAGATGGGATATTTTCTCCTTGGGGATTTTTTCTCCTACATATTTGTTCAAATGAGATAGCTCCCATGCAAGGTTATTGACAATGAATTATTTTCTCCAGTAAAGTGTTATAGTTGGAATGTATTCTATATATATATTATGATGAGAGATATGTCATCGTCATAATTTAAATTACGGGATATATTCTATGTTTCACAATTTATGGGAGAAATTGTTTGATTGTCAATATCCGTTGGAATTATCCCATTTCAACAAATATGTGGGAGAAAAAATCCTAATGGGAGAAAATATCCCATCTGACATTTTTTTCCCATGGGAGAATGGTGGGATAATTGATGGAATTGAAAATCCCACCATTCTCCCATGGAATTCTGAGTTTTAAGACTTCTGTAGAAGTAGAGATGTTTGTGAGTTCAACGTAAGACCCTGAGATAAACAGAACAAGAAGGATGTTTATAAAAGTATTTTGAATATCACAATAAGAAATGGAGGGAAAAAGTCTGGACTTTGTCGTGTGCAGAGTTAAATGTCGTACTGTTAAATACGTTTTGTTGTAATTTTAGCGCCGTATAGAGGCCTCTTCAGATGACAGTCGTCAGTGGTACGAGGTGATGCTTGCCCTGGCGGCTAAATCAGCTGTAAGTCTCTCTCTCTCCCCCTCCCTTTCCCGACCTCTATCTCTTTCTCTATCGATCTCTTTCTTAATCTCTCAAACTGAACCTCTAAATCCTTTTATACAATTTCTCTCCAGTGCAAGCAAGTCTTTGCTTCTGCTGTTCATCAATGGAGAGATCACATTCGAGACTGGGTAAGAATCTGAATGGGGCATTTTTTTTTCAATAAATGAAATTCACGTTTTAGGGCCGGGTGTCTTATATTCATAATTATTATTTTTTTTTTTTTAGATAGTCACGTTTTATGAAATTGTTTCTATCTTTTTTTCAGCGTGAACTGACCAGTGCCATCAACAGTTCTGATGAGCGTAGGGAGCTTCCTACCATACCACAACCTACGCATCACGTAAGTGTCGGATGGAACAACATAATGGTCACAAATGTTCTTTTTACTTAATTACATGTAAATATACATGTACAACATCGAAATGTGAAATAAAAAGTCTTGTCTTAATAAAATTTTCTCGGTCGATTGTGAGGCATTCGAATTGAAATGTATTATTTTCCCTCACAGATTGAGTGGTTGGCCAGAGTCAATTTTAAGCATAGGCCAGTGCGCCGCTATGACATACCAGAACAGAGACGCTGTGACGTACCAAAACAGAGACATCATCACAAAGTCTCCAAGGAGCAAAATTTGGATTCCTCCTTTTATGTCTACTAAGGAGGAGAGTGAAATTAGTAAGTGGAACCACCCATAAAACGCATTGTAATACTACTTTCTACAGAGAAATTCAATAATAGGTCTGTTGAGAAAAGAGTAACGTCACCCATTTAATTTTTTAAATATAGTACTTATAGTATATACTTATAGAAAGCCAATTAAATTATCTGTCCCCTATGATAATGTCTGATGACTTTGTTTGCTTTAAATCAATGGGTTTTTTGAATTGCTCCCCAGTTCTGGATTACAGTGGAAGTAAAATTTCTTGGAAATAAATTGATAAATATCGCTTAGAAAAAGATATATGTAAAATTTAACTACAGAACAAGCTTTAATCAAGATTAGATAGTATGGCTTTCTCAGAATTAGACGTTGTCATTTAACACTATATACTTTGATAATTTTTCTGCAATATTCTTTAATGTATTCTTCTTAACTAATGTCTTTTTCTCTTTTCTTGTAGGTTATGCATGGTCGCAAATGGTATGCAAATGTCAGAAACCGAACCACCACTGCCATCTCTGTATCACTGGGCTCGACTTTGATGATTCACGTCCCCTATGGATTGCATGCTGGGGTCGTTGCATGTGATACTGGACATGTGCATATATAGACAAGACATTTGTTGCATGTCTTGCAGATACACATGTGTTGTATTATTTGGCAAAGCACCGTTTGCCTACCACAAAGTGCGTGTACCAGTATCTCGGTTTTGGTGATCATGCCCCTTTTATGGGCTACATGTGATTCAAACACTGAAGAAACCTAGTTAACAAAGTCAATGTGCTGCTATCATCGGACTTGACAATGTTCCTTTTATGGGCAATATGTGATTAAACACTGAGAGAGACCTGTTATTTCTATATAACAATGTCAGGATCCGTATACATTTGTACCATCTCCCGGAACTTCGCGACAGCGCCCTTTTTATGGACTGTATGTGTTGAGACACTGGAAGAGATCTTTTACTTCTCTTCTCTCCTCGGACTTTGTGACAACACCCTTTTTATGGGCTATATGTGATTAGACACTGTGCTATACGTGATAAGCCATCGGAACCAACCTATAATTTCTATACCACATAGACCGTGTACCACCACTTGAAGAGACCTATCATTTTTATACGAAGAAGTCCGTGTACCGCTGTCCTCGGATTTGTGACAACCCTTTTATGGGCTTTATGTGATAAGGCACTGCATGGAAGAGACCCATCATATTTATACCACAAAGTCCGTGAACCGCTGTCCTCGAACTGGGTGAAAACGCCTCTTTTACGGGCTATATGCGATTAGACAATCGAAGAGACATGGTATTTCTATAACACAAAGTCTGTGTTCTACTATCCCCGGATCTGATGACAACGTCCCTTTTGTGGGATACGTGTTTAGACAATGGCATCGCAAAAGTCGTGACCATCTTGGTACTTTAATTGTAATCTGACCTGGAGTCCATGCCTCCTTTTGACCTTGTATTTTTAATAGGGCATGTGTACATGTATGTGGATGCGTGTGTGATTCCATATGTGCAAAGCCAACGACATTGTCGATGCTGACTTACCTGTGCACTATGTGCATATTTGTATATAGTTCTTGCATGATTTATTTTTATGTTTATTGTTGAGATAACTATGCTTTAAATTTATTTTGTATGTATTTCTTGCAAGATTATTTTTTATTTTTGAAATAAACATGCTTTATATTCACAATATTTTTTACATACATGGCTGTACTTCTTTGTGATTTATTAGTATTTTTTAATTTTTTAAATAAATTTTTAATACAATTTTCATTATATATTTTTTTTAATTTTTGAAATAAAATAAGTTTAAACTTATTTTTTTAAGTACTTATTTCATCAATTACATTTTTTCTACTGTTCAATAAAATATGTTTAAAATTAAAATCATTTTTTTTTTACATAGTTCTTTCGTAATTTTTTTTAAACTGTTGAATAAAGTATGTTTAAAAATCATATTGACTTGTGTTTTATTCGGCAGTACCCTGTCGCCCGCATGGCGCAGTGGTTAGAGCGTCTGCTCTAGAGTCACAAAGTAAGGAGTTGATCCTTATGTCACGGGTTCGAATCCCATTGTGGGACGTAGAAACCGGTCCTTCGGATGAGATCGCATAAACCTAGGTCTCGTGTCGCAGTAGGTGCTGGCACGAAAAAAGATCCCTCACTGCTCAATAGGTCAACATTTGTAGCTCTCGACCCGGAAGTGGTGGCGTTTGCATCTGAGTGCAAAATTCTCGAGAGGGACGTTAATCAATCAATCAATCGGCATTACCCAGAAATTTTGCCCAGTCTCGGACAGTGACAGAGATTCTGATTTTGATCAGTGCACAATGCACGAGTATCTAAAGGAAGAGGTTAACAGTAAGACTTTATATTCTTTATTATTTATATATCCCTTTTTAATTTAACTTTACGTGTTCTTTATTAAAATGGGAGGCTCACTCATCTCTGTAAAAACAAAATCTACACATTCCTGAGTCACCATTCCACCTTGAGTGTTGCATTTCACAATGAATGAGGTCCACTTTTTTTTTATTTCCAAAGAGAGATTTTTGGACGTTCTTATTGACATATGAAAATAGGTGAACTTTTGTTTTAGCATTGATCGTGAACAGTATCAAGCCCTATTAGCGAAAAGTATAATTGGTCACAGTACATGTTGCTAGAATAATCTTAGGCTACAAAATAATATACGTTTGTCTAAAAACAGACATATACGGGTTCATCTATAGGACTTTTTCGATAAATATATTAAAATGGCATATATAATAAATAAATTTATATTATCGAGTTAAAATATTATTAATATAATTCAAATCAATGTCCGCGTCACTGGCTCTAAGATGGATGTCTCGATAGACATTTTGCCAAGCACAAAAATTCTGGCAATAAGAATTTTAGAATAGTATTTTAAGCATTCACCCTGTTTGTGCATTCCAGCCTACTGTTAATTAGTCTTTTGATGAATTCGAACTCGGTATCCTGCAAAGTCCACTGATTTGTTGATTGATCCTGTTCCGAAAAATAAGCATGGAAAGGACTAGAAGCTGTATTTAACACCTGCCCGTCCAGGTAATTCTTCCCTACGCCTATGGAGATTAAGGCAATTCCATCCTTTGTCATTTCTTCTACTAAATTATAAGTCTCTGTCATATTAATATCGAATCCATTATTGACGAAAACAACGTACTTCAAAGCGCTGTATCTAGCCCCCTGTCTGTCCGAGAACATTTCTTGCCAAATGAATCGAAGAGCATTTGCTAGATCTGACGAGCTGTTATGGTTGTCTTGTTTTGAGGCTTGAAAAGTACTTGCAAATGTATCTAAATCGGTCGTAAAATTCAACGGCAAAAATGATAATGCGGTATCGGAGTAGTGAACGGTACCTATTTGCACGTACTCAGATCCTAAGAAAACAAATTCATCCATGGATTGCATAAGTTGTACGAAGATACCCAGACTTGCTTTGAAAGTAGTCTGTGACTGTATGGTTGATGTGTCGAGAGCAAACACTATATCACTATCCCGTCTTACCTTACACGCTGAAAAAAAATTTAAAAAATAATTTACTGTGAAATCACTTTTTTCGTGGTGGTTTAATTTTCGCTGTTTTCAAGGCATGGCGAAACCCACGAATTTATTACCACCAGGAAATCTAAAATTTCACATGCATTACTACCTAAACTTTTCCGTCTACAAAACAAATATATTTTCCTCAAACCTCGACAATTTGACCCCACAAAAATATATGATTTTACGGTATTTAATTAGCAGATCTGCTTCAGTACCAATAAGGTATTCATTTAGAAAAATCTTTTTAAAGAACAATTTATAATAAAAAATGGTTTCGGCTTATTCTGATCCATACCTGAACATCGTATGTTTACCGTTTTCTTGAAGACTTGATGCAGCGGTTCCATATTAATGCTGGGATACACATCACCGAATCGGTGATCCCCGGACAACTGCCTAAATCCCTCATGTCTGACGTCATCACCAAATGCCACCAAGAAAACGTCATTCCACTCATTTGATAATTTCAAGAAACCTCTCAAATCGACAATGGAACCTACTGCAGCACTCAGACTTGTAGGCATGCCATCGGTGAAGAGAAATACAAACTGAAAATCATTGGGTGTTAATTGTAGTATCCTTTTGACCTCGATACAGGCCGATGGTATGTTAGTTGTTCCGTTGACAAAAGTGATGTTTTGAATCAAACTAAGAAGTTCCGTTTTGTTTTCGTAAGAGTTGAAATTAATGTCTACCCTCGCCTCTGTTCCATATGAGATCACCGCTACTAAAAATTTACTTTCAGAAATGGTGATTCGTGAAACAACGTCCGTAATGTACTGCAACTGTTTTCTGAACGTTTTCCACGAAGAACTATAGGAAGAGTCTACCATGAAGACTAACTTTGTGGCGTTTGTTTTACAAAGATCTGAAATTAAGCTAAGAATTTAATTTTCATTCAGTTTTGATTTGAAATTGTTGCCATTGTCACGGGCGTCATCGCTGCATTTTTTTAGAATTCCAGATTTATATATTTTCCCCACAAGAAATTGAAATACCTTGAGCTTGAATTGTTTGTCTGACTTACATATGTATATGCACCTACCAATCTCACATAGCGGTCCATCCCAATCATTCGAACAATTACAATAAAACGAGCCTGGGATATTAACACAAGAGCCATTGTTTTTGCACGGATCAAGCAGGCACTCATTGATATCTGTTTCAAATAATATCATTTAAACATATCACTTGATAATAACATAAACCTGAATAGATTGAAAGCCTTCTATTTTTCTAAAATACATTAAGACGTAACATATGCCAAATGGTAAGAAAAACCCTATGTGGACATATTTCCACAAAAGCAAAAATTTATTCAAACTGATAACTTCGAATATTTGACAATTTTCAGTTTATGTTACCATGTACCTGTATCACAGCGTGGTCCAGTGTACCCTGTTTGGCAAACACAGCTAAACCCGCCATCAAAATTGTAACAATCACCATTGTTACATACAGGGTTTTCTGGATGTTGACGACATTCGTCTACATCTAAAAAAAGTACATTCCAATATATAACAAGTGAAATATACATTGAGAGAGAGAGAGAGAGAGAGAGAGAGAGAGAGAGAGAGAGAGAGAGGGGGGATTCATACATACCCTCAGTACATACAGCTCCTGTCCAGTTAGATGTACAATTACAATAAAATGATCCCTTTGTGTTTGTACAGCTCCCTCCATTCTTACAGGGCCGGAATTCTATACATTCATCAATATCTAAAGAGTATAGAAACTGTAAAATTTGTACTGATATATTCAAACGGATTAAATAAGAAAATATTATATATTTGTACCATGGAAACGAAATTACTTCTGTGCTAGTACATTTTAACGTCAATACATAGAATCATGTTTGACAATTTTATTCATCTATTCTAACATTTTGAAATTGACACCATACATGATAAGTGTTTCGACTTCTGACAAGTGAGGGTAATATTAGAACTACGGTTACCTCCGTCACAGTGGGTCCCCTGGTGACCCTCTGGACAATGGCATTTATAAAGTCCACATAAATTCTCACATCTTCCTCCGTTTAGACAGATTCCTGGATTCTCAACACATTCATTTACATCTGTTGCGAGTTAAACGTAAAAGTGTTTAAAAAATTCGAATAATTTACATTTACTGTCCCAAAAATAAGTCTGATCAAGATATAAAACATCAGTTTCACTTTCCACAAAGAAAAAACGAGTCTTACCTTCTTCACAATATTCTCCCTTGAAGTAATTAGAGCAATGGCATTCAAAAGAGCCATTAGTGTTGATACATGTTCCATTGTTAGCACATCCACTATCAACGCACTCATTTATATCTAAGGAAAAAATCCATGCATTAAATATGATTTTCTTTTCAAACTTTTGAAATTTTTTGCTAAAAATTTATTTGGAAATACATCCTCAACCTGTTTGGCATCTATTTCCTTTCCAGCCTGCTCCACATGAACAAAAGAATGCACCAGGTACATTAATACAACTCCCTCCATTATCGCAAGTCTCCTCTAAACATTCATCAATATCTGTAACAGGAAATTCAGACTAACCATATAAACTTGTCAAGCATTTTGCAGACTAATTATTAGTTACAAGACGACAATGATAAAGATTTGTAGGAAAGCAGAAACTTACCCAGTTCACAATCCGTTCCGTTGTACCCAGAAGCACAAACACATTCATACCCTCCGACCAAGTTTATACAATAACCTCCATGTTGGCATGGGTCGTTTTCACATTCATCAAAATCTATGAGTAGAATAAAAATGAAGCCTTTATTTAAAAAAATGGAGAAGGTAAAACCTCTGCATGAATTTTTTTTTTGTTTTTATTTCAGCCTGAAGGTTAAAAAAGTTACCCATAAGAATACCTTTCTACATCAATGTACAACATGAAACATATGCATTGACATTAAAAGTTATTTCTCTTTTTTATTCTTTTTTCAATAATACAAAATTCTCCACACTCAAAAATTATAGACACGTATGGATACCTTGATTACAATTTCGTCCAGTTACTCCATCATCACAATAACAGATATATGAACCATTAGTATTTGAACAAGTTCCATTCAATCCACATATATTCTGTTCGCATTCATCCATATCTGAAAAAAACAAGATTCTGAATATATTTTTCTTTCATTTTTGTTAAAGCTTTGGTTAGATATGATCAAAAGCATTAGATGTCATTTTTATGCCCCTGTAAACGAAGTTTCGGGGGTATATAGTTTTTGTCGTGTCCGTCCGTCTCTCTGTCTCTCTCTGTTTGTCCGCAAAAACTTTAACCTTGCCCATAACTTTTGATTTAGTTTAGCCTTGTCTTTCATATTTCACATATATATTCCTTGTGACAAGACCTTTCTTTGGGTACCACCAAATTTGACCTTTTGACCTTGACCTTGGAGTTTGACCCACTTTTACATGAAAATTTTTAACTTTTATTTTGGTGATATCTTTCGAACAGTAGATACCAGGACATTTATACTTCACATATGTAATGTTTTTTGAAAAACCTTTCATTGGATACCAACAACCTTGACCCTTTGACCTTGACCTTGACGATTTCTGTACTTGTGAAAAAACTTTAACCTTGACCATAACTTTTGAACGGTAAGAGATAGAGCTTTCATACTTCATATACATAATCCTTGTGAGAAGACCCTTCATTGAATACCTTGAAGAACTTTGACCCTTTGACCTTGACCTTTGAGATTGACCTACTTTTAAGAAGCAAATCTTGACCATAACTTTTAAAGAGTTAGGGCTAGTGTTTCATACTTTACATATTTGATTCTTATGACAAGACCTTTCATTTTATAACAAGAACTTTGACCCTTTGACCTTCACCTTGGAGTTTGGCCTACTTTTTAAAAAAATGAACGTTGGCCATGACTTCTGAACGGTTAGGGCTAGGGCTTTCATGCTCTACATAAGTATTCTATGTGGCAAGACCTTTCATTTGATACTAATTATATTGACCTTTTGACATTAACCTTAGAGATTTTTGTACCTATTAAAAAAACTTTAACATTGGCTTACTTTCATATTTCATAATTGTTTTCCAGTGAGAATACCCTACTTTTGGTACCAATTTATTAAATTTTCATTTTAGAAAAGTTATGTTGCCATACGGGGGCATCAGTGTTTCACAAACACATCTTGTTTATCATTGCGATTCATTTAGCAATACCTTGATCACAACTTGGTCCTGTCCATCCAGTTTCACATTGGCAAACAAAAGATCCTGGGACTAGAGTGCAATTGCCATTCAAACATGGCTTGAAAGAACAAGCGTTTTGACCTGTTTATGAGAATAAGACCTATCAATGAATTATAAATAACTGGTGCACCAGTATCTCCTCTAATAAGCTATTTAATAACTATCCGATGATAATTTGACGAGTTTGATTTTTCGGTTGAAAAAGTGTTGCGTTGCCTACTATTTGAAATTACAAGTTACAAATAAACCTTTTGAACTTATAATTCCATAATAAAATAAAACTATGATTTAGGAATTTACAATGCTTACATACTGGTTTTGAACAAGCTATCAACCGGATTTAATTACTCATCTGATTTAAATTGATCTCAATATTTTATTAGATTTTATCATTATTTTGAAATAAGATTTCCTAGCTAATGATACTACCATTTTCACATTGATCTCCTTCAAAACTTTCGGAACAGTTACAATGAAACTCCCCTGGAACGTTGATGCATGTTCCATTGTTCCAACATGGAGATAAGCCGCACTCGTCAACATCTACGTTGACAAAATGATTGCAAAATAAACAGATATCATAAATTAATATGGAAGGCAAACAGAATCTAGAGATAATCGTTGACTAGTTCATGCTTTTAACGATTATATTGTTACCTAGTTCACAGGATTCACCACGATATCCTCGAGGACACGCACAGTAAATCTTCCCAAATTTGGAGACGCAGACACCGCTATTGTGGCATGTTACATTACTACAACCATCAATCGCTACAACGAGTGTATTATCAGAAAGGCTTTACTTTTAAGGCAATATTTTAGATGTATGGATTTTGTTCTCTGATATTTGACTATGCAAAGCATGTTACCTGTTTCGCACATCTTTCCTGTCCAACCATTTTTACACAGACAGGAATATGGGGAATTTTCAGCGATACAAAGACCTTCATTTTGGCAAGGCAACTCGTTACATGTACTATAGTCTGTTAACTCAATATTTTTGAAATAAAAAGGAATGTTAGAAACAGATGAAATCTAATTGCAAAAATGCTAAATAAATTCTTAAAAGTATTCGAGTTAAATAACCTGTGGTACAGTTGCCTGGCGAAGCACACAACACACACTCATAACCACCAAAGGTATTATTGCATACTGTGTTTTGAGGACATGGGGAGTAGTTGCATTCGTCTACATCTAAAAAATACGTTAAAAAAGATGAAACTTACAATTCTGTTTGGAAATATATAGGAATTCCAATACACCTTAACTTACCTTGTGAACAATTTTCTCCTGCAAAACCTGCTGTACAGGCACATACTGCAGTCACTCCAAATGAAAAACATGTACCATTGTTGTAACAGGCATGCATATCGCAAGATTCTGGAAAAAAATACAGTTTTGCTTTTACTAGGAGCCAAAAGAAGGCATTTTCTTTAAATTCTTCCTCGTCTTGACCCGTTTATTCATTGAATATACTTTATTGCTTACTTGTGTTTTATCCCCTCGCTAACGTAAATGCAAATTGGATTAAATTCATAAACGAATAAATTAGCAATTGGAGATCCTAAATAAGAGAGTTGATCCGAATTAATCATAAGTTTTGTACAAAATCTTCAAAATAGAGAGGTTTAGCAAGCTAATTTGTACGCGAACGTGTAAACTACAAGTTAGAAATACACGTACACGTTTACACGTCTTTCTTGTTTAGTAAAGTATAATCTTTATGCGTACTTGTAATACTATGCATATCAATCGTTTCAAATAAATATATGCATGTATATATTAGATCATTATTGAAAAGAGCTTTTATAATTTTATTCCATCAAAGTTTGTCTTGAAAGTCTAGATGTGTATTTCACACTCTTTAAAATTATCCTTTTTATTCACAGAGGTTTAGTTCTTTATATCATTATTTGTATAGAAAAAAACACACTTTTAAAAAAATAAACAACAGTTAAAGAAATATGAGGTACAATTTTTACCATAAATTTCGACAATGTGTTTAATGCATACACTCTTTATAGCCGAAAGTCATATTTTTTTTTATATTCATTCTTATTTATATCATAATTGATAACAATTAAAAGGCAACCTTGTTCACATCGTTTTCCGTAAAATCCATTCTGACAAACACAGGAGAAATCTCCATCCAAATTAATGCAATGTCCATCATTTGAGCAGGGGGAGACATGCACTCATTTATTTCTACAAGTAAACACACCATATGAGTAAATGATCTTACTATACATTTCACTGAAAAAAAATCAAGATTAATATGAATGCATTACTTTTTGTTTATTTATTTTTATCAATGTGAAATTTATTCTTTTTACATTAAAATAAATTCGATTGATTTCTGTTAGAAAATTGTACCGATGCTAATTTTACATTATGATTTAAAGATCAAGATGAAAGCATTTACGAAACTGGAAAAGTGAAACCTCACCATCCATGCAGTGTATTCCTTGATAACCTTGGGGACATTCACAAAAGTAACTGCCACCCGTATTTTGACATGTGGCATTAACACTACAAGGGTTTCTTGCACATTCGTCGATGTCTATGCCATGGAAAAAAGAAATAAATGAAAACTCACTCTTGTGATCAATTTGATCATTTATCAAAGCAAATGAAATACAGTACCTCTTTCACATTGTTCTTCAGTAAATCCAGGTGGACAAATACATGAAAAAGTAGAATTCCCTGAAAAACAACTTCCTCCATTCTGACAAGGCGATGATTCACATTCCCCCAAATCTATGAAAAGTTTTTTTTCAAAACCCGGCATGTCAGTTTTGTTTTAATATTCATACTTAACAAATCATTTTAATGTCAAAAACAAATAAAAACTCTTAACAAAATTGACAGAAATTTCCAGTCCAAGCTGTTGGACAACTACATAGAACTGTTCCATTGCTATGACTACAGTTTCCATCGTTTTGACAAAGGGATGAATACGAACATACATCCAGTTCTACAAAAAAGATATGCATTCTCATATTTGATATCAAATAGAGAAAAACCAGTTCTATATTTGTATCTCCTACCTTCTTCACAAAGTTTCCCAAAATTATTGCTGTCCTTTTTGCAATCACAAGCAAACCCTCCAAGAACATTTTGACACACTCCTCCATTTTTGCAAGGAGACGACACACACTCGTTCACACCTTGATTACAACAAGTACAAGTTTTGTAGTTTCGTTATTTTGATAATTTTCTATGTTCAATCTTAAGATTTTTGGTTTCAATTTTTTTTTCATTATTTCAAATAAATAAAAAAGAAATAAAAAAAAAGTAGACGCACCATTTTGGCATAAAGTTCCCGAAAATCCATCACGACAACGGCAAAGGAAATGCCCGAGTAAGTTGATGCACACTGCATTGTTTTCACAAGGCATTGCATTACACTCATTGATGTCTTAAGATGAAAAAGTCAATAAAAAACAAAAATAACAAATATTAACTCAATTTTATGCATTCATGTCAAAAATGAAACATTTGCTTAATAAACGTCTTAGATTAATTCATACCAGTGTTTGTTTCTGAATGTTTATTTACCTTTTTCACAAATACTTCTGGTCCCACCCTGGCTGACATCCACAGGAAAACGAACCTGCTGTATTTGTACAGTCCCCATTGCAACACACCGATGGCGAGGTTAAGTACTCATCAATATCTAATGAGGAAATTTAATGATAGAGGGTTTGTTTTTAAGCTTGCTTTACTTCTGTATTTATGACTTGATAACTTGTTCTCCGTAAGAATGGAACTTGTTGAGAATCCAAACGTAATTATGATAACTTAAATTCACAAAGTTATTTTAAGCTTTTAAGAGACACATGTGAAATAAGATAATGCAAGCTAATGTTTCAAAAAAGAATTTCAATCTAAATTAAATTTGAAAAATTAACAAAATTTAAAAAGAACTAAATCAAATCTTAATTATATATCAGTTTTATAGAAATAGAAATCGATTTTAAGTAAACTTTTTTTTATTATTGTTTCCTAATTCGTGAGTAGTAGTCCATGAGCCAAGTCATGAATTTTTCGGTATCGGTACCATCTCGGGTGAATAATTTTCATAGTTAATTTTTGAAGGACATACATTTCTACCTTTAGAGAATGTATGATAGCATTCAATTGATTGTGGCTTTAATGGTGTATCAACTGTTTATATACATCAACCCAACTCGTTCTCTCAGCTGTGTCTTTGAAGGAAGAGGGTTGGTTTTTCAATGCGCAATTTTATCTTATTTCGGATGATATTTTCTTGAATATTCTTTTCAATGCAGACCATGCTATTACCCTGTTCACCTATTTTTCAATACTGGCTCTATAATGAGCCTCTAAATTATATAGGAAATTGATTCTTCCCTTGTATAAAAGTGGAATACTAGTATGCAATTTTGAAATTTTAATCAGAGGAAACAAATTACTACTGTGACAATTTTCACACCAAAAACATGGTCATTTTATTTAAAGAATTTTTTTTATCAGGTATTAGCATTTCAAAACGTTATTTCAGTAACAAATATATATAACTTGATTTAATAGTAAA